GCCGAAACTTCGCCCGCGCTACAGTGGCCCATTCCTAATCAGCCACATGCTTACGCCCGTCACCGCCCATCTACTGTTACCCGCCGACTGGTACATCACCTTGTCGTTCCGCGTCCGTCTCCTTCGACCCTACTTCCCAACCACAAGCCAATTGCCACGACATCGCCCACCCTCGATGACGTGTCCTGCATCGGAGCCCATCGTCGACCCCGAAAAAAAAAAAAAAACGGAGCAATCGGATTTGCCATCCCCAGGGATCTCGGAGGATCTAAGTCCTCATCCGCTGCAAATGTAGCACCCCCACTAAAGACAGCTGGGTGCCCCTGGGCAGTATCGAAAATAAGTATGTCCTCCGAGTGTATCTGCGAAGCAAAGGATTCCGCGATATAGACGCACTCGCTTAGCGTAGGGGCTTCTTGGGGAGGGGGCTAGTGTAAGGTATTTTTCAGCATTCCTTACTGCGCATTTCAACATCGCGTACAAGACAAACTGTTTCTTCAACCGTTACTGCTAACGGTGTTTTGCCGCCTTCGCACGTCACTTTTGCCAAACCACGCACTGCTGGACTGGCCCGAGTCGGCCTACGCTTCGAGACTAGCCCGAACTTCGTTGTCAGCATCGCACTAGCTAACTCGCACGTACCGTGTTACCGCTTGCTGTTTTCGTTATAAATGTTCGCTCATGCCTTCGCTCACATCTGTATTCGTTTGCCAACTTAGTGCAATCCTTGCTTACTTGTTTCATTGCACACGTAACATTTACCCTGAATTAATTAACCACAAATTGGGATCTGGAGAGATTTTCAGAAAAGAGAGATACTATAGTGAGAAAGCTGTACAATCACCTCCGCCTTCCTTTTATGGAATTGAAACATCATTAGCTTATGGGGATACGACAGTTTCCGCAATTGGACAAAGGGTCCTTGGGGTGCCCGAGTCAAGAGGCAACCGTAACGACGAGTCAAATTGCGTGGAAACTTTTTGTTAGAACGTTTACACCCTGTTTCTCGCTTGTTGCTGACTCGGTGCAGAAATCACACAGCTTTCATTCCACTTCGTTAAACAGGACGTGCGTGGACGTCACACATACACCAGACTAGGCCATCAAAAGCACAAGTGTGCTCGGTATGGAACCACATTCTATTGACAGAGCTGAACAATCCTGGAACATTAGCCCAAATACACGCGGTCTGAAATGGCGAGCACCGTGTGCCGTAATCAAGCAGCAAACATTATTTGTAACTGTGGTTTGGACTACGAGGGACAAGAAAAGCCTTTGGTTTGAGCCGAGAAGGGCGGCCAGCTTGCCTTCTCTTGCTGGCAACAGATTTTATTGAAAATCCCAGGCAGTGCGCCGCAACAGTTACAAATTATATCGAAAATCCAACTCCGCCGAATGTCCGTCACGCCCTCTGGATTGCAGGGCGTTTTACAATGGTTAGCCCGTCTCTCGGAGTGGTTCTGGACGCCGAGCAGCAGTTGTCGCCTGCCAACCGTGACATGGCTGAAAATTTGCCCTGCCTGATCAGCTAACCATATTGCGGAACCCTGCCTTGACCGAGCTCGATTTTAAGAAGCACCCGGCTAAAGATACTGAAATCTATAGAATGCCCCCATCTTCGACCACTCAAGGTGGTGTTTGTTACTGGCTGGGAAAATAGCCAATCCATTCGACTTGCCTGAAATGCATAACTAATGCTGGATATTTTGCTAAGGATCACTTAGGCCTGTACCTGGTAAGAGAGACAACAAAGGGAGGCTTGCGGGTACAGAGAGTCAGAGGGGAGAGAAACTAAAGCAAACCTAGGTCGATGACTCTCCTCCCTAACAAAATGCAGTAATGAAGGCGATCTCTACTCTTTCAAGTTCTATTCCAGCCCTCTCGGTCGCCAAAGCATTTCTCGACACTTAAACTAACAACACAGTGTTAAAAAAAAAAAACAGATACAGCTCCGAAAAGGGGTGGATTAATAACCTCGCAACAAGCCCGCGCCTGGCATGCTGCAGTGGCAAGGTGTACTGTATGTACCTCGTTGACAACCAGAATTCAGGGCTCAAAATTCAGGAATATTGTTTTTTTTTAATATATAGTTTTTCTCGCCCTTCCATAACAGATTGGGCGATAACACCACCCTGACCTGGCTTGACATGTGTTCGCTCTGCGATGGCATATGTGAATAAAGTGGAACCTTCCCGTGCACGAGCTCGTGCTTAGGAGACAAAACAAACAATTGTCCTCCAGTTAAGTTAAAAAAAAAAAATTAAAACCCTGTCATATCTTGAGTACGCCTCACCAGACTCCTTTTCGTGGCAGGGTGAACATGGGTTACATCGCTGAACTGGCAGGGTCCTCCAAAAAGAATGTGGAACACAGTCGGATCGATGGCGAACAACGGGGATGACGAGCTTGCGACAGTGTACAGTTTGCGAAATACAAACACTCTATTGTACTGGAGTTACAGAAAACGCATTTCTCGGAAATTTGCTATGCGACCATCAAGAGCGATCAAATTGGACAGCAAACCCGTCCACAAATAGCCTTGGCAACACCAGCTCATTGCAGCAGCCCTCCAGCCTTTCCTTCCACCCTCTCAAACGCCTCACTCCAACCCCCATTGTGAACGCCATTCATTCATTCCTTCCCGCTTCCATTCCTCCGTAGTAAACGGTGACTTAGTACCTTAGACCAACGCACCAAATATAGATGTTCTATCCGGCTTCAACCCCGGGTTGCTTTCTTTCAACGGTAACCTGGCAATTTGAGCTCTGACAACCGTAGAGGCTGACGTTGCAGGAACCAATATGAGCTCTGCCAGTGCCGTAGCCAGCAACCATCGCGTCAGATCTGTGTTCAGCACAGATAAAAGCAGGCTTCCAGCAGCAGTCGTGAACGGAGACGGCCACACGTGGCTCAAGTACGGCAAAAAACACATCGGAAACCATGTCAGGTCGTAAATCTCAGGCCATCAGAGAATTTTATTTATTTTGGAAGAGCCATCAGGTCCCAATGGCCCTCTCGACTGCTGTTCCTGCAAATGCACTTCTAGATACCTTTCTGGGTTAAGATATCTCTCAAACAGGTTGTCTTCAGCCTAAAAAGAAATGCTGATGATGTTTGGGCGGCCTACATTCTCTGTTTGAAATTTCTGCCGGGTAGCTGTGCTCACATGCACGTTTACCGTACCTCTCCAATTCATTGTTGAGTGTCTCCCATTTTACTGAATAAATGACTATGGGAACCCTCCCGGGTCCTTTTGAAGCTGCTGGGGAACCAACGTGACCCATTTGTATCCATGGACGAGCATGGAATCGGTTTTCAGACCACGTGGAGACGCATCCAGGACAGTAACACATTCTGCTCTTCTTGTGGTCTAACCTAAAGCCTGGGGTACTCTTTACCACATCAATCCCCTCTCACACATTTCTCCTATCGTTTCATCCCCACACGCAGGTAATAGGACAAACAGGTGCGTTTGGCCCAAGGTCCTCCTTCATTCTCACATTCGTTCCTCTCTCACACCCTTCCTCTGATCTACCCTCTCAGAGACTTCACATAAGTGCCAGAACAACAGGTGCGCCGCGTCCAAGATCACTGAAGCCTAAGTTTCTCCTCATTCCCACATCTCATTCATCTCTTATCTCTTTACCTCCCCCACGTAGAATCTAGGACAACGAGACCGCTTGGACCAAGATTCTTGAAGCCTGAGTTACTACTCATTCCCAAGAGCCATTCCTCTCTCACATTTTTATCTCATCTCTTCACCTCCCTTCAGTAAATTCTAGGACTACAAGTGTGCTTGGACCAAGATTCGTGAAGCCTGAGTCATTTCTCATTCACAAAATCCATTCATCTGCCACATGTTTCGCTTCTCCTATCCCCTCCCTCTCCCCACCATGTGCTAGGACAACAGGTGCGCTGAGTTCCATGATCTCTGAACCAAAAGTTACTCTTAATTCCCAAGTTACATTCCTTTCACATCTTTCTCTTATCTCTTTACCCTCCTCGCATTAATGGAAATCGTTAACCTGAAAGTTACCGCAGGGTCATGACAGTGTGTTTGTGACCCAATAGTAACCTTTGGGTCATGAACAGGACACCTGGAAGTCACCTTGGGGCCCCCAATTTCCATGGGTCAGCCTGCGGTCGTCAAATTATTGGAGATGTAGAACAACAGGCCCGCGTCAAAACTCCCTGATGCATTCCCCCCTCCTTCTCCCAATCCATTCCCCTCTCACATGTTTCCCTCATCTCTTTCCCCCCTCCCCCCCCTCCCCTTCCCCCCAACCCACATACAACAGGTGTGCCGCAGCCCACGATCGCTGAAGTCTAAGTTACTCTTCAGTCCCTCTCTCACATTTCTCTCTTTATTCCGTGGTAGATCTCAGTACCACAGGTGCGCCTGGTCCAAAATCTCTGAAGTCTGAGAGACTCTTCATTCCCTCATTCCATTCCCATCTCACATGTTTCTCTTTCCTTTATCCCCACATGCAGGTGCTACTACAGGTGCGGCTGGTCCAATAGCCCAATGGCCTGCCTTGCAAGAAAAACCATGGACTTCGGCCCTGCACGCCGAACTACGAGCAGCACTACGGGTGATACTCATGAGCCTGCTGCCGATGCCAATGGGTTAGGCAACAGCAGCGCAACACCGCACACCATGGCAGCACCAGCTGAGGAGCTACCAAGTGACACCGCCAGCAGCACTCCAGTCTGCCACTCAGACCCAATCTCGTGCCCAGACTCAGTCCGCCGCGGAGCACCCGCCTGCCATGAGCTCACAGTGGTCACGGTGTACCACCAAGACCACAACCACCAGGAGCGCGGCCCTCCCCCACGCCGCCACAAGCGGCAAGCGGCCCGGCTTGAGAAGGCGGCAGCTGCGGCGGCGGCAGCGGCGGTAGCAGCAGCGACTGCCAGCAAGCTTGTCAAAGCCAGGACGCTTTCCCCACGGCTCACAAAGATTCTTGCCAAGGCCCAGGAGAACTGGCTAATGATGGGTG